TCTGTGTGATTTCATTTAAAGCTGTTAAAAGAAGTTCCCAAATTAAAACTTAATTAATAGCTTCTTTACAGGGACCAACAATAGAGGGGGGGAAATCCACCTTGTTTTTGTGCATTTAGCACATTTTTGTGAAGACAGCTGCCCCACACTCTGGGCGGCCAATGGGCAGGATCACTTCAAGACCAGTGGAAAAAAAATAAGGATGCAAGAGGAACGTCCTAACTCTGAGGCTGGCCATAGGAAAATCTCCCCTTCTGCATAACATACCTTCATTGAAATAACTTGCTGATGTCCTAAGAGTTAAGGGTTTCAGATGCAGTACTTGTTGCTCTAATAGAGAGGTAGCACAGTGTCTACTCTGGGAATGTCAGACTCATCACTGGATACCCTGAAACACCATCACCATCTCTCAGCCACATTTCTAAACTGGCTCACTTGTTTTTTTCAGCTGTCAGCTCTTGGAATATCCTTCAGGCTGGAAAACAGCTGAGGGTTATTTCAAGTAACCCTGAAAGATCAGGGGACTTGAATGGAAAAATCACCAGAAAGGTAAAAGCAGAAACTGTTGCTTGCTAGAAAATTCAGGGTGACAGAACGAAGAGAGACAGGAGTGCTATGATAGCCCTTAAGAAGCTAAGCAAATTTAGGAGATCAAAGAGGAGACGGTGCTTCTTTTACGATAGAAGACAGATGACCTTCTCAGTCTCAACAAAGAGCACAAAACCTGTTAATTATTTTTTGAGATTAATTTTAAAAGTCTTTCCTATTGCAACCTGAGAAATAAAGAGGCAGGTTTTGCCAGTGCATCAAATTGTCCTTATATACCGGAACCTTGTCATCTATTTTACACAGTATGTGTCTATCAAAATTATTTATTTAATACAATAAATTTCAGACACTTAAGGTCTTTCCAACCTTGAAACTATGTAAAAACATATATAGACAGCCTCTGCATTTATGAATTCATGACAAATATGAGGGGAAATTCCATCCAAATGAAAACTTTCTGCTGCTCATTTCATGAAAAATACTCTCAGGAAAGGAAGAGCTCACAAGAAGGTGAAGTCTTGTTTGTTTTTAACACTTCAGTTGCACTGCTGTGAGCTAAAAGGCTGGCAAGATGTTTAAAAATGAATCAGTTCATAGATCTCTCCCTTAGTCTTAAGGGCAAGTGTTGGCAATGACTGAGCATAGAAGAAAAAAAAAAGGTAAAGTTCTTCCACTCTTCTAAATTAGCATGATGAGAACTAAAAGCAGTACCTGCCAGTAATTGCAAGAGAAATTTCCTGTTATCATTCCTTACTGATATATAATGAGTACTAGAGATTAGTATGCCACTTCAAATCTTAACATATAAACAGATGGCCTAATTTCCCTGCCTTTACTCTTTATAAAAATAAAATTAAAACCATTACAAGAAGAAAGGCTTCAATAGCGAGCAAGCAGGTGTTATTTTCTGTGACTTCTATGTGTAAAAACTGAAAAGGAATTATAAGGCTGCCCTTGTAATCACAGCTCAGTAAAAATGCTGATAGGGAACCACTGGAACACTAGTTCAACACCCGAGCATCCAGGTCTGCCCCCCTTTTGACAGTGCTGGCTTTTAGGGTTTCTTGGGAGTTTTTCTTTTTGGTTTGAACTGGTCTCTGTTCAGCTAATCTCCTTCCAGACCCAGGAGGGCAAAAGACCACTTGTAGTGAGACCCTGTGGCTAAAGCACCCCTACAAAAAAAACCCTATCAAATCCATGTGTGGAGGTTACACCTTTGCCCAGTTGCAGTTGTCTCATTTTTGTAACAGCAGCTCCTATCTGAGGAAAGGCTACTCTGCTTACTTGTAACCTGCTCCTGCTCCTCCACATCCCATTAATCTTCCAGGCGCAGCCTCCTGCAAAGTGCTCACACCCCTCTGTAACTGGGGCTAAGTCCAGACGAGCAGCCCCTTGTGGGACCTTCCATTGCCACTAGAGAGCAGCAAGGGACCACTTTATCTACGAGTTCAAAAGAGAATGCAGTTAAGAAAAAAATAATGAACTTGTCAGGTCATTTCTTCTCTTTCTTTTTTTTTCTTTTTTAATGGAAATTACAAAAAAAAATTTCCTTTGTGGAGAATAATTGAGTCTCAGGTTCTTTATAGCAGTTCATAAACACATTTTTCCAATTGAAAAAGCTTTTTATTTATGCTCAGTTATTAACAAAAAGACTTTTCCTAACAGACTTATCTTCACTCTCCTTTGCATTTGTAATCATTTCCACTGCATTTCTGACATACACAAAGGAGCTGAAAAGCTAGAATTTGAGGGAGGGAAGGAAAGGGAATTCTTCTGGAAACAAAGAAAGAAAGTCTTAGGAACAATACCACCAGGACAGCTTGTTGCTACAAATTTGGCTCTATACCTACTCAGTGGAATGAAACATCAGTTTTAAATGCTCTCTTGTGACATTTCTTTCTAAGCTTCACAGATAAAACATAAAGCTAAATGTAAGCAACTATTTACTGAAGCATACAGAGACCTCTCACACCTCTCTGATAGATTTCCAATCTGTGAGGTATTGTTGGTGTTATTTCTAGAGCTGTAAAGGATTGCAGGTGGAATGCATTAGGGATAACTATCAGAAAATTAGTCAGGACCTCTACATTACAATGAACATCTAAGGTTTTTGCACCCACATGCTTTCCTGTATGCTTTTTTTACAACCTCAGTTAGTGCCCCAAACATTATCGCTTAAATACCCTGAAATATCAGACCCAGCATTTCCCCTGACTCTTGTTGATGTAAGGTGTGAAAATTACGTTTGCATCCTGATTAAGGTATGCTTGAAGAAAAGCTTAATACACTGATGTTGGCTGTCTGATCACAGGAAGCACAGGAACAGCATAAAAATGTCCTCGGCTGATGGCAGAACACGAGTCAACTTGACTGAAGCTACAGTTCAGCAGTGCAGTTGAGCCGATGGAACAAGCTCATTTCTGCTGGAAGGAGGTCCCCAACTCTTTGGTACTGGCCCTAAGATCTCCCCCTCCCATGCATGCATCCCCTCTGATACATACTGGATCTGTACGATTTAAGGAGCATCAAACTTGGTGCAAGGGAGAGTGCCAACAAAGTAGCTGGGAGGCAGGGAGTGGGACACAACTCCTCTTCTCCCCTCCAGCAGTTCAACTGCCTCTACCATCCTGTCACACTGTGCCATGGTTGCATTTGCCAGCTACTACAGCTAGTTATCAGCAATCCATTTGCAGATAGTAAATCCTACTTAAAAGGATTTCCTGACAGAAATTTCTCAGACAATTCAGAACAACTTACATTTCCCGGGTTTAGCTGGGATTCGGATAACAGTGGGTTTCCGGGGTAAAGCTGGTTGAACTGTCTGTTCCTTTACAGGCTCGCTTTTGGAGAGGAGCTGGAATGGATCTAAATGCAATAAAAAAAGAAATAAATGAAAAATACAATTTTTAACTGAGCACAAACTTCACCAGGTTGCATTCTTAACTAAGGATGTTTGTATTTCATGCCCGAGGGATTAATCATCAAAAATCACAGCTTTCAGGGACATAAACAACAGGCTGATGAAAAGGGAGTACTCAACTCCCTCTTTTCTGTGCATTTATATTCAAAGTTGAGTTAACATAAACATATCCCAGATATCTTCTGGGATTATACAGGTCACTGAACAGGAGCAACCATGTTGCTTGATAGTAGGGAGCTGAAATCAGGATTGCTTTAGGGAAACGTTCTCGAAGCAGTTGTTCTAATAAGCAGGCATAGCTGAACACATTGGCTAAAAAGTTTTAATCAATAAAATCTTGCAGAAGCTAAAAAGTCAGCAGCACCCCACATAAAATGCCTACAGACAGAAAACAAAACAAAGCATGTAAATATTAGACTGTTTGCAAAATATTCTTTTTGCTACAGAATAACTAATTCACCTTGAAGAGTCTGTGTAATTTTGCTGATTATAAACTTCATGTCAGGGGGAAGACTGGGGACTGGGAGTCCCACTTTAGCTCTGCCCCTGCGGTTATCACTCACTCCTGTTTAAGCCTGTCCAACCAATCCATCATTTTCCATTGGTAAGATAGGAGCTATGTTTTCTATGCTTAATGAATTTAAGCACTGGTGTCTCTTATTAATAGACACTGAACATATGTGCATGTAGAAAGCAGCTGTAAAAATACATGTGCATAAATAAAATCCAATAAAGGAGATCCTTCTTAAGTAGACCTTCATGTCAAAGAGCAATGCTTCATTTATGTATGTTCTATGTTACTTACAAATGTTACTCTCCCCTCTAAATCCTACCTTTTTCTCCAGCATTATCAAAAAGTGCAGTAAAATGACAACACTTAACTGCATCGTAAATGTACAAGATAGAAACTGGAGGGGCCCTCTGGCCAATAAATTCTCCATGACACATATTCATAGTCCTGACAACTGAGTCGGGATCTCCCCTGGTGGCCTTTTCAGATGTGTATCTCAATGAGATGTTATTTATGGAGTGTCAGAACCAGCCAGAGCACGCCAGGCATCTCTTCAAATTCTTCAAGGCCTTTAATAAAACATCCCTCTTCCCAAAACTCCTACCACACCTTCTGAACAAAGTTGGAAGCTGGGATCTGGTAACATTCTATCTTTATGTTCAACGCTTAGAAACAGCTAAAATTAAAGAAAAAAATCATAGCATGAAGTCATGATTTCTTACAGATAATTTTGGGTACTACAACATCATACAATTAATACATTTGAAATCTACATCTGAAAATGGAAGTTAAGATTTCAGAAAATCCAGAATATCCAGAAATGCAGTATTTACTTAAGAACAGTCTCATAAAGCTTTGGGACTTGTCTGGGGGCGGGAGGGATGAAGAACTCCCCATGGCCGGCGGCTCCTACGTGGCCGAAGTTCCCAGCCACTGTGTCGGCAGCAGAGACAACACACGGTAGGGTCTGGGTGCGCTCCCACTAGCCCCTTGCTTGCTTAGGGGTTTGGATTGGGGCTGAATCTTGGCTATGGATATTAATTAACTGTTAGGCTGCTGATGAGAATAACTTTAGGGCAAGCAAAGAAAGCCCAAGCTTTCTGCTAAGCTTTCTACGCCTGCAGCTGTAACTCTCCAAGTTATCTGGCAGCTCTCTAGCTGATTCGGGCGCAATCCCAACGAGGCAGCAGGGCTGCGGGCCCCAGAGCCATGCAGGCCCATCGGGCAGCCCACGGCCAAGGACAGCCCAGCAAAGGTGACCAGGGCTGCACGACGCGGCAGCAAAAAGCACCTCCTGAGCTGAGAGGTGGACAAAATCCTGTATGAAGAACAAGGAAATAACTTTCAAGAGCCTTTGTCTTATAAAGGCATATCCCTAGTGAGGTCAAGTGGAACAGACTACTCTAAACAACCAAAATAATCAGAGGGCTATATTCCTGTAAACGAGATTTAAGATGGCACGACACTACTGGTTGTCAGCTGTTAATCATTCCTGTGGTTTGCTCTGTCACTCAGCAGCTGGCCGAGGCCTCCATTCCAATAACTCTGGGAGAAGTCACTTTTAAATCTCAGGCTTTGACATGCTCCACCTGAGGCTCAGAAATCATCCTGCAAAGCTTAGTGTTTTTACTCATTATCAGACATTCAATTATACTGTTGTCACCTCGTAATTAGCCCAAACCTCATTACCTTGTTTGTGCCGTCCTGTTCCCCAGCGTCAAGCCGGCAGCAGAAATTGGCTGACTGAACGACTCTGCCGCTCTGTGCAATGGGGCTGACAGCATATGAATTTTTGATGTTGTTGAACAACAGTTGGGCATGGTTTGAGCATAATTCATGGAAGCGTGAAAACAGAATTGTTAATACCCTCATTTAAAGCATCTCAGTTCAAGGAAATTAACTCGCCAGGCATTGATCATAATATGTATCAGAGGACTTCTATCCATCTTTACTTATTTTCAATAAACTTTAAAAAGGGTATTTGCAGCCTGGGTTTTCATTAGTCTCATTTTCTACACTCACTTTCTTCTGCTTCAAAAGTTTATTTGATAACATTTTACCGGTATCAGTACACATTCATTATTCAATGTGCTTGTCTCAGGTAGCACAGTTTTAGTAAAGCCTAACCCAGCGCGAGCACTCTTGCCTTTGCACAAACGTGCTTCACCCACACACAGGGGGCTGTTTTCAACATGCCCCTGCTAGAAACACAGCTGGAACCTCAATGGTGATCTGCTTTACCTGATGCGGCATAATATGACAGGAATCTGCCAGGGCCAGTAAAAATATATAAATAATAACTTAATATATAAGTAGCTTTTCCACCGAGGATGCCAAAGGACTAGTTTTGCCTCTTCACCCGCGTATGTTGTTGCACAAGTACACAGTGATTTCAATACTTTTTTTTATCATAACCTTTATCTTTCCTTGTAGAAGCACTGCGACCATATGCCAAAACAGAAACTTCAAACTTCTCACACGTTAACCAGATTAATAGAGTTGTGCAAAGACTTAAGGACATGGAGAATTCATCTGGTAACAGTGCTTGCTACTGCAAGCAGAGAAAATGTAGTGAACTCCTTGCATAAGTTTTAGGCACTGCTCCTTGTTCACTGCTGACTCTGATGGATCACAACAGAAAACAAGACAACTCAAGGCCAGCTATCTTTTTTTGAAGAAGGAGGAGGAGCTTGGTCCAAAGAACAAATGTTGTTTACAGGATACATGCAGAGCTTGCAGAAGGTGCCTAGTGATCAGCACAACAAAAGTGCATGAAGTCACAGATTTTATGTAGGGTTTGATGGTCTCTGGAAGTTATCAATAAAATCTGGAGAGATTCAATAGAAGATCCAACATAAGGGCACTGGTTGAATAAACAAGATGTTCATAATTGAGTGATGAAGTATCTCATCTAAGGCATTAGAAAACAGACACAAATCAAATTTACTGCAGACCTGCAAAATCTTTTGGCATGTCAAAACAATAGCAGCAGTGGAAGCGTTTGAGGAGAGCAGAGCTACAGCGCTACACAACGCACATAGAGACAGTTATAAACAGACTTTTCTGAGCTTGGACTGTTGGACACCTTTCAGCATTTCTGTCTCGGAAACTGCAGGAATGCCCAAAACTACATCCCTGTCTCTTAAACCACCACAGCTGAGTCTACTACTAGCTTACCCATACTATTAGAGGTGATCATAACTAGTCCTTTTGTACTTGTGGCATCAATTGAAATTTCTGAGTGATTACGTGACTATCATTGAAAAAAATTATGTTTCCTGAACTCAAATCTAAGGTCATCTCCTTGGAGTCACTTTCAAGCTCTCTGCACCTCAAAGCACCCATTAAACAAATATCTATAGGGTTTGATGAGAAGATGGAAGCTTATGGCTGCTGGAGATCATCAGTCTTTTAGCAAAACCAACAGGACTCCGTGCACAGCTCTGTATGTCAGCCCTAGCCCAAGGTACAATATCTTAAAGAAGGCCTGTTTTTTCAGTGGTTTAGGCCAAAGAGAGGAGTAAAAATGGACAATGCCACTCTGCTCTGAGGATGATACTTTTGACAGTAAGGCAAGGCGGCAACAGGTAATTTTTTAATATAACCACATCATTGAAAGTAACATAGCAGAACCATAAGAAAAGCTACACTATTTTAAAGATAAGTCTGGACTGATCTACCATTTAGAAATATTTTGGGTCTTTCTCCCCTGCCCCAGAAGCATCAGAAACGAGCAGCTGGGCAGTGTCCTTAGGCAGGCAATTTGGGAGCTGCTCAAGCAGCAGGTCTGAACTGGCTACAATGTCCCAGACGCCCCATCACGCCACAAGAAGGAGCAATGTGTATGAATGGACAGCAGTCACCAATGTGGTTGGCTTTTTTCCTCATGCAAGCAGAACTGAACATTCATACTGTGAAGAAAGAAGGAAAGCAGTTAAGAAATGCTGCAATTGTATTACTGCTAGAATTGCAATACGCCAGTACGATGGAGATAATGAAAGAGCAAGCTGTCTCCTGCTGGCAAGGCAAGACGCTATCTCTGAATTACTTTTCAAAGTATTTGGTTTCAATTGAGTTCTGGTATATCAGGAATAGAGGGAAGAAAAAAAAAAGAGAGAGAGAGAGAAAGAATAACTCTCGGCACAGGAAAAGAATGGAAATATTCTAGCAAAGTCACCCCCAAGTTTTAGTTTACAAATATGCTTTTAATGCACTGTTATCCTATTTTTCTTGCCCGAAACACTTAACAAACAGGCACACTACACTCTCTACACAGCAACCAATATAAGCTACAGTGTGTATGTATCTATACATATGGATACATATAGATACATACATATACTTATGTGTAGGTATGTTTAAATATGTAATATACTCCACAGCATACTATATATACCATATACTGCATATATACTATAGTATACAGAGTACACACTGTGTATTATATTCACTAGGATTGCACTAGGATTTCATTTCTGAGCCTTTCTAGAATCAGATCAGTGAGAAAAGAGCCCACCTCACAGATGACTGAAACTTTTAACCTTAAGGAACATCCCAGTGACTGCATATATCCCTGTTTACCAGCTGCAAGAGAAATGTAAAAACACTTCCGAAAATCCAAAGTGTCTCCAAAGCATTAACACAGCAAGACTTACAGCCCCAAGTAGGTGCATTCACATTCTGAATGACCAACCTGAACATGAGTAATTTCAAATTATTCATGAATGCAAATGCCTTTGAACATCATCTCCAGCCTTTGAGTCCCAAATTACGTGGCTACTTAAAACTGGCATCAATTTTGGCTACTGATGAAAGGAGCTGTCCTGCAGACTTGTCATTGCCAGCTTCTCCTTTCTGGCACTTTCCTTGTTCCAGCACCAGAGACATGAATTGGATATGAGGCTCTGCCACAATTTACTCCCAAGTCTCAGAGCCTCTGAGCCTCTCTCAAGCTCCAGCGGACTCAACAGTCACAGTGGATGTCGAAAGCTTTGACAGTGTTCTAGGTACCCAGAACCTCTATGTGCACCACAGGGATGATTCCCTCTCCCTGAATAAGTCGGAAAAGATAACATCTTTAATGTTCAAGTAACAGCAAGGTGACTCTACAAACAGCTGTGCTCTTGGAGATGCTGTCAAACACAGATGAAAGTCACAGCTACCCCAGCTCTCCAACAGAGAGGGGATTAAGGGACTGCCTGAGGGAAACAAAGAAAATCATCCAGCTAGCTACAGCACTTAAACTGCTGACAGTTACATTGGTGAAATTACAAACTGGTTTGTAGTTTACATGCTTGATTTTTGGCTAAGTAGAGAATGTTAAAATATTTTCTACTACTATAGGGATGTTAAGCTCCTATTGGAGGGAGACGATGTTTTCTGTCTGTCAAAGTGCTATGGAGACCTTGAATTTCTTTCTGTTCTGTCTTTTCCATCACAGGCTCACATCAACTTCTGCACATTTTCCATCACCAGGTGAACAATTTGCCTCCTTACTTTTGCATCAGGCATTAACAGAAGCAGTAATTTATCTGTCTGTCCAGCTCTACTGCATTAGTCTAAGCACCAGGAACATCTGTGCTGCAATTCAAAGGGGTGGGGGGAAAAAGTTTCACAAACACTGTAATCTGTGATGTAAACTGGTTTTTGACAAGCCAGTTGTTGGTGCTTAGTTTCAAACACCATGGCACAAGAGCCTTCTTCATTTCCTAGGGTTGCTATAACAACAAGCAGAGGTCTGTCATTTTGCTAAGTAACAACAGTGACAAATATGTGAGAAATGCAAAGGTCTAGGGAATGGGGAGCAAGATTATAGCTTCTCCTCCTGCCTTTACAAAACATTTTACTGTGGATACATCTCACAAATCCTAAGCTGTTCCTATGGGAACATGAGGAGTAGCTAGTGTTAGTGCTGTACGCTGCCTCGTTTTTCAGAAAGTCAGTGTTTTCCTCATGGATGCTTTGTCAAGGCATAGCACTGGCATTAGTAAGCTGGTCTTACAGCTCACAGGAGCTCACAGGAGGCTGATAAAAATCTGAAATGAATCCTAATTTTATACTCTGCTAAAACAGTAATGCTGCATCAGAACTTTTTTGCTTTAGCAAATAAGAAGGGGCTGCAGCAAAAATGCCATTTTATTAAACCAATAAGATCATGAACAGTTGACTCAAGAAGAAGTTAGGAAACTATCAGCTGAATAATTATTTTGTTAAAAGAATGGTATTTTCTTCTTAATTGAGTCACGAATATTACCTAGGGTATCAGAATGGTGGAGAGTGCCATTCTTACCATTTCACTGTAAGAGCTGGTTTCTAATGTGATTTTCTTTGGGATTACACATTTTGATTTAAAAGCAGAATTAATGGTATCTATTTTTTCCCCCAGGAGAGGCAGGCTGGGGAGAGGCAGTCTTTTAGGGCAGAAAGACAAAGCACCATTTTCCTTTTATATGTTCTCCAAATTAAGAATTCTCTTTTCTTGACTGCTACTTTAAGCATATATACACTTGCCCTTTGTTTGCTGCATCCCTAAATCACAAGAAAGTAACTGAATCAACAAGTTCTACCCTAAACCCATGGAAAGCAATCATCATCTCATGAGCTTCTAACTTTCTTCAAACCATCATATGCACAATGGCTGTTCTGCAGATGCAGTGTCCAAAGGAGTTGCAAAGGTGCAAAGGTGATTGCAACTCTACCCTCAGCAATATATTGTCAGTCTTACACTTCCTTGAGGATGATCTCCGATCATCCCACACTCCTCCCTCCTCCTGGGCTTGGCACAGCTCTTGGAACCTCTCAGGCCCAGAAGGAATGGACTCATAGTCACACTGAGCAGGTCATCTCTCCTGCAGGACCCTCTGCTGCTTCAAGAAGGATCATTTCAGTCCTACTTCAGGGCTTCTACAAGTTGTCCTGAGATCCACGTGTCCACACACACCATTCTCAGGAGTTCAGAATTGTAAGGAACTTTCCACATCTGCCTTGAGGCTTTTTTATGCCAATACAGAATAAAAGTGATCACAATCCAAATTTCATCTAACAACATAATCCACAAACCATAACAAAATCACAATTCCTAACTACCGCTAATGAAGATTTACCGTGACAACTACATGGTATTTATATATCCCTTTCAAAGAGCTGAAACGTTTACTGATAAATGAGGCAAAAAAAAGATTAAAAAACATAGTTCTTTTAAAAATGCATCTCATACAACATACCATTTGTTTTTAAAGCAGAACTCTCTCTGATTGAATAAAATCAGTAAATTAGGACATGCTTGAGTACTAGTAGAGAAAATGCACTGCTGTAAAATTCAGTGACAGCCTGAGACCCATCTGTGTCTTAAACTACCTAAAATACCTCTTTAAAAAAAAAAACATACACACACACAAAAAGGTCTCAAATGCTTATTAAATAGCTTTAGTAATTAATCCACCTACAAAACTCTGAAGTTGCATAACAAAACACAATCCACATGATAAGATAATGCAATGGATAGAAAGGAGAAAATAAACACACATTTGTGAAAGGACAGAATATTCTGGTATGTTCCCCTAAATGTGATCATCATTCCT